AGGACACCAGCAATCCTACCATCACGTAAAACAATTACAGGCTTTCGTTTTACACTCACTTGGCAGGATGGTAGTACTTCCTTGGGCGGTTGCTGTCTACCAACCTACTACCTAGAAAAATGTATTTATAAATTATAAATGATTTTTGCCTTTTTTGCCAGGTCCCAGCACTGTTTTAGAAATGCTGGAGTATATATGAAACTCCTTAAAGCACAGTGTAAAATGAGTGTCACTCCACTGCTATTGGAGTCATTTGATGATCGTGCACTGCCTTGGATTTTTTTTCACCGTTACAAATAAACACGTCTGTCTATCTGTTTGTTTCTGTCTATCTGTTTCTGTCTATCTGGTTCTGTCTGTCTATCTGTTTCTATCTGTTTCTGTCTATCTGGTTCTGTCTGTGTCTAGCTCTGTCTATGGTTTATCTGTCTCTGCTTAATTTCTGTCTGCTTGTCTTCCTGTCTCTACTTGTCTCTCTGTCTCAGAGAGCCACTGCTGAACCAACAGGTATTACACACGATGTAGAATCAGTCACATCTGATTCCTGAACAACTGAAAATGTGCATTACTTGCCAGTCATGCTTATTATGCCTTATATCTGCAAGAATAGTATAGCACTTTGTCTGGATTTTTTGGGTTATCCTAGGTAATTTACACTATGTATAACAGTATTTTTGTGTACCTGTTGGCAAATTAGCCAACCACCCAACCACTGGCCGGCCAGCCAGTCGGCCACCCAGGCAATCAGCCTGCCGAACATGTATTACACATGTTCCAGAATTGTTTCTCTTAGGGCATACATTATAGAACCTTCTGGCAGGATGACACTACCAGTGGTATCAAAATTGAAAGGATGTTACACATTGGTTATTATCGAGGTTTTTGATATTTCCTCTCTACAGCAAGTGGCGGTGTATCTGAAGCTCACTTGTAACTTGGATTTTGGCTCGCAACTCAAAGCAAAAAATCGTCTGAGTGACGGCTTATAACTCGGAAAACTCGTAAGTTGGGGCACCCGTAAGTCAAGGTACCACTGTACAGTGAATAGGTTTATATTATACATCGAAAAGAAACAGAGGTTGATGTACGCCAGGACATCACATCAAGTTGGACAATCTGCAGGCTGTATCGCAAGTATCTCATCTATGTGTGGTTTTTGGGGAGTCAGGTGAGTTCCAATTAACCACCAAGCTGTTTGTGAAATGCCCAACTCTCCTAGTACGATAAAGAATAGGCTATCAAGTACTCAGTAATGAATAGCAATTGGTAGTTTATAGCAGAACAGGGCAAGCAGACAGGTCTCTATTATAATAGGAAGAAGAAGAATAAGCATAGAAGACATAAACTAGTAGGTGGTTATGGGTCAGGTCAGGTCAGAGGAGCACAGAAGACCATGTGTCACATGCAAACTCTACATACACACTCATACACAATAACATAGAATCCCACCCACTACTTTTCACACGCTTAATAAACCCACGCTCATTTAGTTCCATACACGAGTTCACACCCACACATAGACCCACACACACATTCCCACACATATACAGACCCACACACACATTCCCACACATATACAGACCCACACACACATTCCCACACATATACAGACCCCCACACACACTCCCTCACACCTGACAGACAGGATGCTCCAGAGATGGGACACAGATACAAGGGGTCACAATTGGAAATTGAAGACTCAGATGAGTCAAAGGGATGTTAGGAAGTATTTCTTCTGCCACAGAGTTGTTAGGAAGTGGAATAATCTGGCAAGTGATGTAGTGGAGGCAGGAACCATACATAGTTTTAAGACAAGGTATGATAAAGCTCATGGAGCAGAGAGAGGGAGGACCCAGTAGTGGTCAGTGAAGAGGCAGGGCCAGGAGGTGAGTCTCGACCCCTGCAATCACAATTAGGCGAGTATAATTAGGTGAATACATCCTCCCCCCACCTCTCCCACTCTCTCCTCCTGATCCCCCCCCACCTCTCCCACTCTCTCCTCCTGATCCCCCCCTCTCTCTCACCCTCCTTTTTCTCCCCCTCTCCCTCTTCCCCCCTCCCTCTCCCTTTCTCTTTCCCCCTTTTGCTTCTCCCTCCCCCTCTCTCTTCCTATATTCCCCCCTCTTTCCACCTCCCCATCTCTTTCCCATTTTGCCACTGTCTCCCGCTTCCCCCTCTCCCTCCCTCCACTCCCTCCCACACACACACATGTCACTATTGGAGGTTGAAGACTCAAATAAATCACAAGGATGTTAGGAAGTATTTCTTCAGTTACAGAGTTGTCAGGAAGTGGAATAGTCTGGGAAGTGATGTAGTGGAGGCAAGATCTATACATAGCTTTAAGAAGAGGTATGATGAAGCTCATGGAGCAGGAAGAGTGACCTCGTAGTGACCAGTGAGGAGGCAGGCCCAGAAGCTGTGACTTGACCCCAGCAACCACAGCTAAGTTAGTACACACACACACATCACAAACAACCATACAGAAATAGATAAGTTTTTCATTCTGTGATAACCAAAAAAAAAAAAAATGGGTTGCCAGAGAGCAGGACAGAAAACCAGGAAACTGGTGGATGAGTCTGCAAAGGAAGATTGGGTAGCAGAGCTCACGAAAACGGAACATGAGTGGGGGAAGGAAGCTAGAAGAGCTTAGCGTGAAAATGGAGGAGAGGATAACTGCAGAGAGCAAAAAGTGGGGGATGCAAGTCACAGCAGCAGAGGCTAAGATACAGAGATTAGAAGAGGAACTGAAAAATCTGAAACAGTCTAAAGAACTAAAGAGCAGTGTGAGCATGACATCAGAAACTGCTACCTCAGTCACAAACGAGGGGACTGTAGGATACAGAGGAATGAAACTGCAGAGGTCCTATCAGACTATTGTGGAGCCTGAGAAAAAAAGAGGAGCACATCAGGTACAGTCGAAGGGCCTGTTGAAAATGAAAGAGCTAAGCTATACGTAAAGGCCTTATCAGACCACAGCTGTGCCCAGGGAAAGCTGAGAAGGATTAATGATAGATCACTGGGCCCAGGGACAACAGATAGTGAAGAGATGGAAGAAAGGAAAGCTGCAATGGAGGCAACTAAATCAAATCAGGGGGTACACAGGGATATTCAGTGGGAGAATAAAAGGGAGAGATCAGTCTTTGTTTATGGGCTCCAGGAAGTTGAAGGGGAAAGTTATGAAGCAAGAAGACAAGGGGAGAAAAAAGTGATTGAAGGCATCATGAAAGCAATAGGAGAAGATGACATGACCCAGCTGAGAAATTTTCTGAGAATATGGGGGTTTGCAAGAGGAAGAAATTGGCCAGTCAAAGTGATTCTTGGATTGGAGGAGGAGGGATATTTGCTGTTTAGAGTGACATCTAACTGTTATATTTACATTCCTCTGGCAAAACAGTGATAGTGTAAATGATGGTGAAAGTGTTTCTTTTTCGGGTCACCCTGCCTTGGTGGGAGATGGTCAGCATGTTTAAAAAAAAAAAAAAACAGTTTTTCTAGCAAATCAGCTCAGCAGCCCTGGCTCAAACCAGTCTTTGTTCATGGTTCGATCAGTAAGACTTGCAGTTTGAAGTTCAGCATTAATGTTATTGGCTTTTTGATCAGGAATAGTTTAAAAGAATTTACAAAGTTCTGTCTTAGAGAGAAGAATTTGTTAGTAGCTGCCCTTATATTTGAGAGGAGAGTACATACTGATAAACCTCGAGGACAGTGTTCCTTCCAATTTTTATTTTCTATGGGTGGGGTTGATATTGTTATTTGCACCAATAATGTATTGAAATGAAAAATTAAAAAGAAAGATACCTAATTTCTAGTGTATATAATGTATACATTCAGTATATTAAAATTGACATAGGTATGCAAGAAATAAGCAATAATAGAATACATATATTAAATATGGACAAAACAACATCAATTACAAATTCTTCTGCATTATGCTGCTGCATAATGTTGCAGAATTTTATCTGTTCTTATCTTTCCTTGTACCTCTTTTTAGACAAACTACAAGCACTGGTTTTATCCTTGCCTGAATCACTTTTTGCTGTTGGAAGACTAACTGCTCTCATTTCCTTTGGGGGCTGGTCTCAGTGTAGCTCATGGTTATCTGTTCTTTTTTCTCAATGTGTTCTCTTACAATTTGCCTAATTGTTAAATTTCTGAGCCTCCTTTTTCAAATGCTTTGTTGTGGAAGCACCATTAGCTTCCTAAATGGTGAGTCTCATAGTAGATTGTTATTTGCTGCAGATTTTCACAGCTTTGTCACACTTATTCATAGGCTTGTTCCATCTGGATTATGAGGACCAGGTATTTTCCTCTGCTTCAGCAGCTACTTTTTCTGGACTTAATGTCATTTATCATCAGGGATTCTGTTCAGGATTTTTCAATCTCCTGCAGGCATTTGCTATTCCCTGATTATTTTTCAGTAGAAACCCAACTGTTGTGAGATTGCTCTCAGTGTTGCTGGTCTTCGTTAGTGGCTAACAAATTGCTTTACTTGAAGCCACAACTGGGCTTTTGGCCATCCTCACTATATCATAGCCAGCTGTGGGAACCAGTACTGTATTATCATTCCTGAGTATTGGGCACACTAAACTCTGACATGATCATATCGTATAACCTCATAGAGGGGGCACCTGTCATCATTCTGCAAGCATTGTCTGGTAGTCTAGCAGTTCAGTATCTCTGGATTGTTTGTTGTTTTTGTCAGAGAACATATCAACTTCATTTCAGATCCTTCTTTAACACCCTGAAGTGCTTACTCTGTGCACTCTACTCACTGACTGTTCTACCTGTAATGCAAACACACTCATCTTTCTTAATTGCCTTTGATTTGCTACATCAACTGTGATACCCATCTTTTCTGCTGACTTCTTTTTCTCAACATCACCATCTTTCCTCTACTATCTCTTTCACTTTTGCATTGAATGACCCTTGCAAGTCTAGTGCTTGCCAGGATACAATTAATAATAGTGCATATTATTCATTATATATAAAATATATTGCAGGATCTTCAGGAGCTGATTGAGAGCATTCTCAAAGTGAATCCAGACGAACGTCCGTACGTGGACTGGATAATAAACAAAGTAGACCAACTCATCAACAAGTCTTCAGGAGCTGTCTAATGAATAATTTATGAAGGGATATTTGTCTGAAAGACATAGCTTATTTATTTTTGTACTTTAGAGTGTTGTCCAAGGCAGTGAAATCTCTTTGTACTTGAGCACAATCATTTTTTTTGTAATACTGTATGTCTTTATTTTTTAAAATTACATATATTTAAGTGCTTTAAAGAAATAGAAGGCCATAGAAAAACATTCTTCACATGGTTAAAACCTGTATTCACTCAACAGTGTACACAACACAATGTTTAGCATTTGTATGAACCAAATAGTAATATACCAGTACATAGTTTATGAACAAATTAAAAGTAGTTTTACCCCTAGCATTTACAAGGGTTGAATCATATATTCCTGTTGAGGCAAAGGTAATCTGAATAAAGGTGAACAATTTTAAGAATTAATAGTTAGTCTTTAAATCAAATTAGCTAAAAATTGAGAAAGAATATGGAAAGATAGCTCTACAGTTAAACATTGCACTATATAATATTATAGACTTGCTGATTTAGGGGCTAGCAACCCCTTCTCCTGTATAAATTACTAAATTTAAAAAGAAAAACTGGTGTTTTTCTTTTTAGGTCACCCTGGCTCGGTGGGATACAGCCGGTTTGTTGAAAAAAAAAAACTTGTTGATTTCAAAATATTCATAAAACAATTTCAGTAAATGCTTTCATTCATTTAATCAACAGCCAAACCTGCTTGCAGACTTTTTCACTGAGCATTTTAACTAAGGTTAATGGTTGTTAGTTTATGGAGTTGTTCAGATCAGTAAATAGAACTAAAAATTTTTTTGAAGGTACTGTACATGCAAATTATATAACAAGAAAATAAATTGGTAGGATTTCTTTGTTTCTTTTCAAAGTATAAAATTAAATCTTGAATTTGCTTTAATTGGTGTTTAGAACAATATTAATAGGGCAGTGTTATCTATTGAATGACCTTCGTCATTTCTTTCAGATTGGAAGACTTTCCTGTTAGATGATATAACTTTATTTAATACCTTTTGAGGGTCCAAGCTGTAGATCAAGACCTTGTCCACAGGGTCCAAGCCATAGATCTACACCATGAGCTCAGCTCATACAGATAAGCTGTGATTGGGGAATTTGAGCCTAGATATGAGAGAATGTATCTATGTGGTAAGTGTGCACCATATAAAGCAAATCCTGAAGCACGCAGTGCATAATGAGAAAAAAAAATGCGACCATGTTTTTGGATTAAAACGGTGACTTTGTGGTGTATTTTCATATGGTTTTTACAGTTATAATAGCAATTTCTTGGTCTCATTTGATAGAATGGAAGATATCTTACAGAAATAGAGATGATTTTGATTGGTTTTAGTACTGAAAATAGTTTGTAATTGAGCTCAAAATAGCAGAAATGTTTGATTTTTGCAGATTTTCAAGAGCAAACAAATCACATCACACATCCAATACACGTCAACTGGTGGGTCTAATATACATTTACAAATGCACTGATATTGTTTATACAATTATTACAATATTGCATAAGAGTAATTCATCTATTTTTGGTGTAAATAAAAATTCTTTAAAAAATAAAAATGGAATTCATCTGTAAAACCTGGAAATGTAGCTAATAAACAGAGGAAATGTTATTTTAGTGCCAGGAATGCCTGCGTTCTTTATTCTGAACCCTGTTTTGAAATTGGAATATTTTGAAGCCTGTGTGAAATTGGCCAAATTACCAATTTCTGTTCACTTTATTGGGTAGTTGAAATACATGTAGTTGATTGGGCAGTTTCTTGTACTCAATAAAATAGAAGTAATACTAAGAAACGCCTAAGAATTTGGTCGACTGTAATAATGTAATTGGCCTGAAATAGGAGTCAAAGTGGGCAAAATCACCAATGCTTAAATATCACTGACACAGTAAAATTTGTGATATTGTAATTTTGTCAGTTTTCCACCAAATTTCTACTTTGTTTTATTACCTGCAGAAAAAGATTCTCTACCATTTCATAAGATTTTTTTTTTTTAATTATGGGACCCTGTGGACAATGCGTAGATCTACGGCTTGGACCCTCAAACGGTTATTAATATTCTTTAGGTACATTTCTGATCAGCTCTGTAGCCACATTTACGTATAAAAGTACTAATGAAGATCTCAGGTTTACTAATCTCATTTGTACAGCACTCTTGAAAGGTAGAATGTTTCAAAAAGACAAGATGGTAGAGTATTTACTGGTAGGTGCCTAAAGAACATTTTTGTAATCTTATATTGTATATACTGCATTTTATTAGATACAAAAATATATATATTTACGTACTTAAGATAGATTTTCACGTTCGACCTTACACTTCTTGTAAACCCAATATGCTCTTGTTCTCATAAAAATTGTCTTAGGAAAAAGCATACTTAGTACTCCTGCATATCATATAAAGATAACTGTACTTAATTTGGTAGTGTATGTAAAAGAAGAAAATTAAAAGTGAATACAGGAAAGAGTAAGGTTATGAGGATAACAAAAAGATTAGGTGATGAAAGATTGAATATCAGATTGGAGGGAGAGAGTATGGAGGAGGTGAATGTATTCAGATATTTGGGAGTGGACGTGTCAGCGGATGGGTCTATGTAAGATGAGGTGAATCATAGAATTGATGAGGGGAAAAGGGTGAGCGGTGCACTTAGGAGTCTGTGGAGACAAAGAACTTTGTCCTTGGAGGCAAAGAGGGGAATGTATGAGAGTATAGTTTTACCAACGCTCTTATATGGGTGTGAAGCATGGGTGATGAATGTTGCAGCGAGGAGAAGGCTGGAGGCAGTGGAGATGTCATGTCTGAGGCCAATGTGTGGTGTGAATATAATGCAGAGAATTCGTAGTTTGGAAGTTAGGAGGAGGTGCGGGATTACCAAAACTGTTGTCCAGAGGGCTGAGGAAGGGTTGTTGAGGTGGTTCGGACATGCAGAGAGAATGGAGCGAAACAGAATGACTTCAAGAGTGTATCAGTCTGTAGTGGAAGGAAGGCGGGGTAGGGGTCGGCCTAGGAAAGGTTGGAGGGAGGGGGTAAAGGAGGTTGTGTGTGCGAGGGGCTTGGACTTCCAGCGGGCATGCGTGAGCGTGTTTGATAGAAGTGAATGGAGACAAATGGATTTTAATACTTGACGTGCTGTTGGAGTGTGAGCAAAGTAACATTTATGAAGGGATTCAGGGAAACCGGCAGGCCGGACTTGAGTCCTGGAGATGGGAAGTACAGTGCCTGCACTCTGAAGGAGGGGTGTTAATGTTGCAGTTTAACTGTAGTGTAAAGCACCCTTCTGGCAAGACAGTGATGGAGTGAATGATGGTGAAAGTTTTTCTTTTTCGGGCCACCCTGCCTTGGTGGGAATCAGCCAGTGTGTTAATAAAATAATTATGCACAGAGGGTGCACTGTGAAGGATTGGTGGAGATGGTGTGTTTTGGAGGGTAATTTGAGTTGATATTCTGCACTTTAAAATTAAAAATAAAATTTTTACATTTATTTCAAATGAGCTATACAAAGAAGTACAGTTGGTATAAATAATTAATCTAGGTAGTAGGTTGATAGACAGCAACCACCGAGGGAGGTACTACTGTCCTGCCAGGTGAGTGCAAAGTGAAAGCCTGTAATTGTTTTACATGATGGTAGGATTGCTGGTGTCTTTTATCTGTCCCATAAACATGCACGATTTCAGGTACATCTTGCTACTTCTACTTACGCTTAGGTCATACTACACATGTATATACAAGCATACGTGTGCACCTACCATCTGACTTACGACCGAGTTCGGTTCCGAGAAACCGGTCGTAAGTCGAACTTTAGTACTGAATATCAACAAAACATTTTTGTAATGACTTTATTTTATTGTTTTATTTTGGTATTTCATGTTTTACTTTACTTTTTATATTGTTAGTACTGTGTTTTATATTGTAAGGTTTAGGATAAACACTGTGTACAACACAAATAGTTGTTCATTTCCCAGAAATTTGGCATAAAAAACACGGTCTTAAGTTGAGTGGTCGTAAATCGAGCAGGTCGTAAGTCGGATGGTAGGTGTATATACACACCCCTTTGGGTTTTCTTCTATTTTCTTACTAGTTGTTGTTCTTGTTTATTTCCTCTTATCTCCACAGGAAAGTGGAATAGAATTCTTCCTCTGTAAGCCATACGTGTCGTAAGAGGTGACCAAAATGCTGGGAGCAAGGCCACCCTGCCTTGATGGGATATGGCCAGTTTGTTGAAAAAAGAAGATACATAATTTAATACAAAAGTAGGAACAAAGAAAAGCCATCAATTAGGCAATGCATTTTGGACAAAGTACATACATAAGCTTACATATTATGTAACACATATTATGTACGACAGCTTGTGCAGGTCACTACAATCACAAGTACAATGAGATAGGTTACTAATGAAAAATGGCCAATTACAGAAGAATTACATAGTATTTACATTGGTTCAATTATGCAGAGTGATTAAGTAGAGGTGGTGGAATCAAAGCATGATAATTTACAGTTAATTGATATTACTTTTTTGTGAAATTTAATAGGTGCCTTTTAACAAGATGTTGGTGTGAATTGGGGAACTTTAAGCATTTTCAGATAGTAGAATTTTTTGATCAGGTTGAGACATGTTGCATCTCTGCAGGTAGAATTTGAGTTCTGGGTTAATCTTTGAGTTGAGAGTCCTGTAGACATATTGTGTACAATAGAAAGTGAATATTTTATATTTTAAGCAAATATAAACTTATGAATAAAGGGACTGTGTGTTGCCTGGAGCCTGAGTGATTATTCTAAGAGCTGGTTTTTGCTGAGTAACAACTGGTTTAAGATAATTAACTGTTGCTGATCCCCATGTGCAGATACCATAGGTGAGGTATGGATAGATTAGAGAGTAGTACAAAGTGAGTAGGGATGTTTGGGGGATATAACAGTGTATTTTTGAGAGAATGCCTTCCAGTTTGGAATTTCCTTGAGAAATGTTCTGGATATGTGTTGAATTTTTGTTTGCTGTCCAGGTGTATTTCTAAGAATTTACCCTCGGTCTGCCTGTTGTTTGTTCAAATGAATTATGATCATCTCATCCACTGTATATAAAAAATTTCAATTTCATAAATATTTCAGCATTTTGCAGATCCTCTAGACTATTTTTTGTTGGATTATGGGTATGCTTGGATTTGGTAGAAAGATCACTTTTCCCACTGGTCCATTGTTTAGATGAACCTTCCTCCAAAAATTTTGAAAGTACATTTTTAGGAAGATTTAAAAAATTTGAAATTATTTTAACAAATAATTTTTTTATAAATTTCAGCAATTATCTTTTAATAATTAAGAATGCTTTCAAAATGCAGATTTCAGAATGCTTTCTGAAATTAGAATTTCTCAAATATGAGTGATAAATTTTGTATCATCAACCCATGAAAATTTTTTTCCTAATTCAGACTTCACAATACTGTGCATAGTATTGAGTGATACACTGTTTTCATTAAGGGAAATTGTCTTCTCCAGAACACTTGCCATGCGAACAAGAGTCTGCTAGATTCACTACAAGTGCAAAATTGGCATTTTACTTATGCTGCTTAGATTAAATATTGTAGAGGTATATTTCACAAATGTGATAACATTTCATTAATCATTTACTAGAGTGAGAGCTATTTCTGTTATCAGTTGTTTTTCTCCTGAATGTTACATAAGAAAAGAGAGTGTATTCTAATTAAAAGTACATGTAATTCTGATTGTGTAAAATGATAAGATGTGCATTGTTCTTTCAACACGTTGCAATTAATCACTAATGTTTTGAACCTATGAATGACTCACTGATTTGATAGGTATCCATACTGAAGATCCAAAATTTCTGTGATGTACATATTGTAATCTAATCTCAGTAACTTTTGTCTTTAATTTACAATTAGATAAGAATGAACAACAGCTAAACCAGCCCTTGCTATATTATCTAAATTAAAAATTATTATATATTTTAATTACATGTATTACTTACCTTTTTTGTTACCAGAAGCTTGTGATAATATCAAGGAATAAATATAGAAAGTGATTCATATTTAGACTGTAACTAACTTAGATGTATTAATTGCAAAAAGACAGAAGTGTCATCATTTAAGAATGAATAACATAATCTTCAAACTAAGAGAAGAACCAGCATAAATATATGTATTATTGTATGTAAGGTTATTATGAAGGCCTGAAATAGCAGAAAATAGCTTATGCACTCCTCTCTTCTCTGTACCTCCTTGTCTGTATGCAAATCATAGCATAACTTCATGCATGGAAATTATGCAGGAAAAATATGAATCTTATGAGACTAAGTAAATTAGGAAATGTGTTCTGAATCATTTTATATAATAAAATCTTCAGGAAAATGGTGATGGGAAGTAATTGCATACATCAGTATGTAGTTTTTATATACTGTATTCCATTATTCTCATAGTAAGCTCATATAGGAAGAAACTTAAAATAGATTGATAAACAGTGCTATGGGCTTTTGTACTAATGTTTCTGCTTATTACTCTCACATACACAGATACTTCTTTTATTTTTTTTTTGTTCAGAGTTTGTTATTATTTGTGGAGCAACCTCTTTTTTGCATTCCTTATCTTCAAGTAGGAGCCAGTCAGAAGTGCCTTGAAGAACAGCAGATTTTAAGCTGAGAAAATTCAAGAACATAGTGCTTAATTGCAACTGTTAATTTTTTTTTTTTTTTTAATTTAAAAAAATTTAATTACCATTGTTCAGTTAATTTGTGCTCTTAGACTTGTTGATTTGTTTTTGCATTGTAGCATTTTCATGTAAATAGCTCTGATTTGCACATTCCATAAATATTTCTAGATTTATATATTGATGTTTATTGCATTGCCCAAAATGCATGCATGTTTGTCTCTTGAGTAGTAAGTAAGTAGGTTCGCCGGTGCTGTCCCGGCCCCGGTCTTTTCCAGCTGGTCACCCAGCAATTTGAGTGACTGAATGTTGTGTTGTCATCACTTGTAAACTGTTGTTGAGGCTCTGCTCTCTGCAGTACATAAATATGAATTCACACCTGCTAGAGACAGAGAGAAAATGAGAGATTGAATTAATGAATGAATGAATGAATCAGCTTGTAAACAGTTGATCTACACTAGTTCTAAACATTTTTGATCCTCAACCAGTTAGTCACAGGGTACTGCAATTTGTATGATTTAGTAACTTTATTATTTACTACAAGTACATGTACATGGTATACATCAGTAACATACTACTGTATAGAAAACCCCTTGTTATGCAGAGCATTTCAGGCAAATTAGGTCATTATCCCAGGATGAGACCCACACCAGTCGACTAACTCCCAGGTACCCGTTTTACTGATGGGTGAACAGACAACTGGGAATCGAATGCAGACCCTCACCATGTGAAGCGAGAGCTTTAGCCACCAGGTCACCAGACAAGGGAAAAAGGTAGATGGTGTGCCGACGCCTCTAGAAAGAAAGAAGCTTATCTATGGAGGCAAAAACTGGGATATAATGGTACCAACACTTTTATATGGACACAAGGCATGAGCTTTAAATGTTGCAGCAAGGAGGATAGAAGGAGTGGAGATGTCATGTTTGATAGTAGCATGTGATATGAATATTATGTAGATAATTTGGAGCGTAGACATTAAAAGACGGAGTGGGGGGTTACCTAAGAGTAGAAGAGGGGATCTTGAAATGGGTTGGGATTTTAGAAAGAATGGAGAATGATAGAATGACCAAGAGTGCATAAAGCTATGGTGGGAGGCCTCTTCAAGGGGGGCTCCTTGGCATGGTGAAGAGGCTCTTGGCCTGAGGAATTAGACCTGTTGGTCTCCTTCCTCAGACCGAACCTAATTACCCCCCAATCCCCCCTTTCCTATCCCATCCTCCCTTTTTCCTTTCCTCCTCCTCCCCCCTGTCCCTCCCTTATTCCCTTCCTCTTTTTGGCCTTTGGGATTCTTCCCACAGGCCTACTGGTTCCTAGGTAGGGAGAAGGGTACTGGAGTCAATCCCATTCCGTTGAGGTTCTTGGTGGTGGTGTAGTTTGCCGTGGAATCTGGATCGCCTGGGGATATCCCGTTTCCTCTCCGGTCTTCTGGGGGGTGGCTTTGGGTGTCTTTCGGGCGATGGGTGTATCTCTGGAGGCCGCCTTTCGGATTCCGGGGGTGGTGGCCAAAGGAGGTATGCTTTGTGGCGGATATCCGGTCGCCCTCTCTTTTGTCCACCAAGATAGCTCAGCAGATGTGAGGTTGCTATCCTGGATTGCTAGTTTACTGGCATGAAGGGTAGGGTATGGCATGGGTTCCATGCTGCATCTGCACTACTTGCGGTGTTGAGGTCCTCGTGGGAGTGGAGGGTGATTTCCAGCCCTTTCATTCCTCCTAGGAATTATTCCTCCCCATTCCCCCTTTTTCTTTTTCTTTTTCTTTTTATTTTCTTTTCTTTTTTTCTTAAAAACAAAAAGACAGGAGTAACCTAACCATGGAAGATTTTTTTCTTAAAAACAAAAAGACAGGAGTAACCTAACCATGGAAGAACTAGTCCATGAACCTGCTACCCCTGGACCCATTACTGATACCGCACCCTGTTCTGACCCTGCCTCGTTTTTTGACCACTCATTGGACACTCCTGATGCCCCTGTACCTCTTGCTGGTGCTGTTTCATCACCAGCTTCAGGTACTAGGGTCTCGACTGACTCCTCCGATTTGTCTGACCTCCGCCCTCCTTTGACTATGCTTCCGGCCTCTCCCTCTACAGTGCGGCAATCTTCGAATAGCCAGCCCATCCCACGTCGGACCAACTTTGGTCCCACTTCTAAACGCCAATGACAGTCTCCTGATGATGTTACTTCATTACCTTCCCATCCTACTCGGAAAAGACCGACAATTCATGCACCCCCTCTCCACGCTCAGTTTCAGACCACACAATGGACTAAATTCTTTACTTTAAGACCGACTTCTTCTATTGCCTATCTTTCTGACCATAGCATATTGGCAAAGTGCTCCTACGCCATGTTGGTAGAGATATTTCATTTCATGCTCTCAACAGCGGTACGCACATTGTCACTGTCCAGAATGCTACCCAAGCTCATGATCTTTCTCTCCTTTTGCATATCAATACTATTCCTATCACTATTGAAAAACATCATTCTCTCAATTCTTGTAGCGGTACTGTCATTCTGCCCCATACCATAGTCCAACAGAATTTCCAGACATGTGGCAATGACATTCTTGAACACCTGGAACTCCAGGATCTCCCAATCCTCAAAGTAGACACTTATGTCCTTCCTGCCCGTGGGTGGAGACAATACCCTTGCAATGTGGCTCGATTAACTTTCGACAGCCGTGAACTCCCGTCCTCTGTTTATGTCGCAGGACATCGGTTACAAGTTTGAAAGGTGATCCCTACACCGCAACAGTGTAGAAATTGCTGGCGATTTGGTCACCCAGCGAAATATTGCAGATCTATAGCCGAATGCCCAGTCTGTGGTACCGACGACCATTCTAATACGTCCTGCAGTCGACCTCCCTCTTGCCTTAATTGTCATGAGGCTCACCCTTCGTACTCTCCCCGTTGCCAGGTCTACTTAAATGAACGTGAAATCCGTTGCTTCAAAGAAGCAGAAGGTCTCCCTTATGCTATGGCAGTTTCTCATCTGCGTCTTCAAGGGAGACTACCCCGTGTTTCTTATTCTCGTGTTTCAAAACGTCCCCCACTTCTGGGGTCCCACCTTCTGCAGCCTCCTCTGCTGTTACCCCTCTCATAGTCACTCCTGTATCTAATTCTTTTGCTGTCCTGGGCTCAGACATCCCTACTTCAACACCTCAATCTGTTCTGACATCTTTGAGTTCTCACTCACAAGCCCCGGTATCGACAAGATCTCATACGACACTTTCTACCAATCGCCCCTCTACTTCTCAGAAGTCCAAAAAATCCCCTTTGCTCAAATCTTCTTTGCCCCCTCCTTCCCTTCTTCCACCCCCACATTTTACCTTTCCAGTCTCTGTACCTGGTTCTTCCCCTCTCACTGGCTCTATTACAAGTGTGGAGGTTCACCCCCTCTTCATTTTGTGCCTCCCACCCCTGTTCCCTCCCAAGTCTCTCCCTCTTCTGCCGCCTTCCAGGTTTCTGCCTCTTCTGTCCCCTCCCACACTTCTTCTCCAGTTCCCAACACGCTTTCATTCCCCCCTACTTTAGTACAGTCCATTACTGTCCCAATCTTTACTCACTCTCCTTCTATCTTTAATATTGTCTCCCATACAACATCTTTGAATTCAGAAACACTTGACGCTATTTCAGAATATATTGCAGAGACTAAACCTTCAATGGACACGGATCCACCTCCTGTTCCTTCTCTTCCCTCTCCTCCATCTCCACAACTCCATTCTTCGCAATGCTCCGTTGTTTAGCTGCTTGAACGTCTTCCGATGCCACCACACATAGACTTTTCTAATCCCTCTAGTCTGTAGGTGCCCTTACCTACGGATTCCTGGTATTTTCCTCATTGCCAATCATGGCCTATTTACAGTGGAATATCCGCGGCCTCAGGGGTAATCGAGGTGAGCTTCAGATGTTGCTTTCCAGGTTTTTCCCTGTTGATGTTTGCTTACAAGACCAAAATTACACTCAGCTGTTTTCCAACCCATCTCAGGCTATAATTTATTGTATTCTTCAGATCCTTTCTCAGATGGGACCTTTAATGAAAGTGCCCTTCTTCTATGCAATGATATTCCATACTGTCACCTATTTGTCCATACCTCGCTGCATTACACTGCAGCCCATATCCACTTGAATAAGTGGTTTACAATATGTTCTTTATATCTCTCTCCTTCTCGGGCATTATCTATCCCAGATTTTGCCTTTCTTGTTTCATCCTTACCGCCACCACTTCTGTTACTTGGCGATTTTAATGCCCACCATTTCCTCTGGCGGAGGTCTCATTGTGACTCACGTGGCATTCAGTTGGAGGCTTTTCTCGC